AGAAATTCTTTGCAAGCCCTGCATTCAACCTGAGACACCGAGCTTTCTCGGCTATCGTTCTGTTCATCCTTTCCGCTACACCATTTTGTTGTGGTGTCTTGCGGACTATAAAGTGTCTCTTGATCCCATGCTGCTCACACAAATCCTGGAACTTTGAATCTGTGTACTCAGTACCATTATCTGACCTGAGGCATTTAATCTTCCTCCCTGTCTGGTTCTCTACTTCAGCTTTCCACAGCTTGAACTTGGNGGAATTCAGCAACATCAGCGCCTTGTCTTCGTCTTCGAACTTCACATCAACTCGCTTCAGATCGCTGATGATCTGATTGAACACGTTGATGTGTTGGGTCAAATCCGAGCCCTCTGACATCTTAAGACCATATAGTTTCTGCTTAAGATAGAGCTTGTTCGTCAACGACTTGGACATATACCGACTTTCCAGTTTCAACCAAACTTCCGCCGGTGATTCCTCATCCATGACGTGATACATCACTTCATCAGCCAGACAAAGCCTAATAGTCGCCACAGCCTTCGCTTCCAATTCTTTCCAATCCATGTCGTCCATTCCTGCCGGTTGTTTTCCGTATAATGCCTTCACCATGCCCTGCTGCACTAACAGGTCCTTCACCCTCCTCTGCCATAATCCGAAATTCCCAGTTCCGTCGAACTTCATGATGTCGAATTTTGTAGAGGAAATCCCAGACATCGTAGTCTAGCTCTGATACCAATTGTTGTTATCGTGCAGCAATTATGGTGAATAGTAAGGAATCAAACAATTAAGAAAGCAGGAGAAAATAACACACAGAGATTTACGTGGTTCGGCTGTGCCTACATCCACGAGAGCGAGCGGCCGTTCTTTTTCATTATTAAAGTAGGGTTACATCTTAAGTATTTATATAACCCTAATATGGACGTATTTACAAAAATACCCCTGTACCGCACCGTGGGGGCGTTGCCCCCGCACCCCCAACTAATCAGCGTCCCCTATATATAAATTCCGCAAGGCAGATGCCGTCGCGGGCTCCACTTCGCTACGTTCCGCTTCGCTCCCCCCGCTCCGGCATCTGCCTCCTTGCCATTATGCACACAGCAATATATAAGCAACACATACTCTAACATATTCCTTGGATGAGATAATCTGATCGACCCGCGTAGAAATTCACAATTTGAGAGATATTGAAATAGGAAAAGAAACGAAAAATAGAACATAAAAAGATATACTTCGATAAATTATGCTTACATCCACAGACCTAACATTTTATAGTCTACATCTGATATATGATTCAAGATGATTAACTAAATAAGACTCAACTTTATTTATAGGATAAAATTTACACAATATAAAAGATAAATCACATATATTTATCCAAAAAAAATTAAATATTAATGAATTTCTTTGCATCATACCATATTTCTAACTGAATTCTATGGTATCTCTACAAGAAATGACATGATTAGTCTCCGTTTACAACCCTCAATAATCAAACCAAGAGGTGTCAATGAAAACGGTATTTCAACAGGTCCTAACAAAGATGTGACCTTTGTCCATTGTGGAATTAATTAGGAAAAAGCTATGGTACCGAAGGAGATACTGTATCAAAATTTATAACTTTTTAAGGTTAAGTTATAATTTTTTGACATGTAAGTTATAGCTTTTAAAGGTCATGATCGATTATAATAGATTGAGATTGATACCAAAATTACAACTGTTATTGGCTAATACAAATTTGTGGGTCAAGGAATGAAATTTGAAAAATTATTTAAAAAATATCTTGTCAATAAACACAATCTAAATAAATTGTCATGAAATTCACATTCTCTACTGTTGTTTCATATAATGTCAAAGTAGACATGAATACGTTGGAAAAATTAGTATACCATTTAATATTACGTATTACGTGATATTAATTTGAATACCTCTTAAGTATTACATGACAAAAGTTTAAAAATACTTTGAAATATCATTCAAATTTTAATTTATATCTTCAAAGTTTAAAAATATTAATTTACACCCTGAGAGATATAAATTTACATCAATGTGCACCGGAGGTTAACTATCATCCATTTTACAGTTAAATAGAGTTTGGGATAATTGCAAGTTGCACTTTCAAAGTTTAAATATTTCAGATTTATGATTAAAAAAGAATTATATCCATTAATATTGGTTACATACCTCTAAAGTGTGTCTTATCATGTTATTTTGTGTTATGTCATATCATTTTCGTGTTGTGTTTGAGTTGATAAAAAAATATTTTAAACACAAAATATTTTCGTGTCGAGTCAATTACGTTGTGTCGTATATTTCAAATTTATGATAATTTAACAAGTATTGCAAGTAAAAAATAGGTATTTTGCAATGTTTTTTTAAATTTTAAAAATATTTTTTATTAACTCGAACATGACACGAAAATATTATAACACGATACAATTGAGAGTTATTTAACGAGCATTAATGAAAAAAAAAATTCTTTTTGGATCATAAATATGAAATATTTAAATTTTAAGGGTACAATTTATAATTAGTCTAAACTTTTTTAACGGCAAAATGGATGCCAGTTGATCTCAGGTACACATTGATACGAATTTATGACTTTTAGGGTATAAATTGATATTTTTAAATTTTAAGAGTTTAAATTAAACCAGGGTGCAAGTTGAGATTAGCCCACAATTTTATGCGTGTGGTATTTTATCTAGCTGAATCTTTATGCACGTCAGAAGATCCAGGAAGTGGAAATTGGTTGCCTATTTTGTGAATGAATTATTTTTGGGTTAGTGGTTGTATTTTGTCATGTGGCATGTGGTTGCAGATAATTTGCATTATTTTGCAACTTATGACACTATTGGCTGTTAATTATCAGGGTTCCTCTTATTGTATTGCATTTGCTGTAATTTTGACACGATATGGACTCGACATAAAATTTATTCAAATCCTAAAATAATACGATCAATTTAAACGAATATAAACGGGTTATGTAAGTGTCAAAATTCTACTCTTGGATTTTTGTGTCAACTCGAACATGATATTATTAATAAATAGTTTGAATTAAAATTGTATCATATGACATGATTAATTAAATAATTTATATTAAAATTAATTAGTACTCAACACGAAGAAATGACACGATAATCTTCATTGACTACCCTACATAATCAAACTAAGAGATCTGATTGAAATGGGATTTAGATCCCTTCAATTACCCATTCTTTTCAATTTTCTTCAATGGCCTATTGGGCTTGTTAGGGGTTCTAGCAAATGATAAAGGATTTTATTTTTTCAAGTTAATGAGCGAAGAGACTAGGATTGCTATTTTTTAAGGGGGGCCTTGGTTGTTTGCGGGGAGGCCTCTAATCCTCAAGAGATGGTAGCCAGAAATAATCCTTGCCAAAGAAGATCACTCTGTTATCCCGGTGTGGATTAGGCTATTTAATGTTCCCCCTCCAATTCTGGAATGAAGAGGGGCTTAGCTATATTTCTAGTGCTATAGGCAAGCCACTGTATGCAGACACACTAACTGCAGCTAAGAAAATATTGAGCTTTGCTAGAGTGTGTGTGGAAATTCAAGCCACAACCAGGCTTATTGACTCTTTTGATCTTAGGGTGGATGTAGATGAAAAGGATAAGAAGGTGAAAATATAAGTAGAGTATCAGTGGAAGCCCAAAGTATGCCAAAGTTGCCAAATATTTGGCCATAATGAGTTCACATGTCCTAAGATGATGACTAAAATCACTTGGAAGCCCAAACATACCCAAAAGGAATCTCAACCTCTTGCTGATGGCAATGACAAGAAAATCATATCCAAGGAGGTTGAACCAACAACTGAGATAGTCATGTCAAAAGAGAAGCCTCCATTAGATCCTGGAAGTAGCAGTAACAGTGGAATTCAAGCTACTAAATTCAGGCAGCCCACTCATAAACTACAGGATGAAATCCAGGTGACATCTATCTCACATGTGGAAGTGCAAATCCCAACTCAGCTGTCTATACCTACTACATTTTCAAATAGATTTGAGGGGTTGGAAATTGAGGGAGGTAAATTGGTGGTGGATTTAGACTATCCTGTAACCAACTGTGATCATACCCATGGGGAGGCAAGTAAGCAACCTGGGGAGAATAAGAAGAAAAAAGCTAAGAAAAAGTCCCTATGGGAAAAGGAAAGATAAAGGGACTGAGCCCTTCAAACTCAGGCTTTCTTCTCTACTATGATTAAGTTAGCCGGCTGGAATGTAAGAGGACTTAACAAATCCTCTAAGCAGGAAGCAGTAAAGAAATTAATTTTTGAACATCACCTTGATTTAGTGGGGATTGTAGAAACCAAGGTGAGAAGTGTAAATATTTCAGCTGTTAGAAATAACATATTTAGACAATGGGAGTTTTTGGCAAACTACATAACTCATACTTTTGGTAGGATTTGGATTGGGTGGAACCCAAACTCTGTCATGGTGACTAAGCTCTCGGAAACTGATCAAGTGGTGCACTGTGATGTGGTACATTTGAACACTACAACAAAAATTTGTGTATCCTTAGTATATGGGTCAAATGAGGATAATGAGAGGAGGGACTAGTGGAGAAATCTAGTTTACCATGCCGGACTTTTTTAATCCTACCCTTGGTTAGCTATTGGGGATTTTAATGCTATAAGTAACTGCAATGAGAATCATGGTGGACTAAACAGATGGGTGCAAGCTATGGGGGAATTTGATGATTGTATACAAGAAGATGAACTTGTTGATTTGAGGTACTTAGGGCTATTCTTCACTTGGAGCAGCAGAAGAGCAAAAGGTGCTTGTGTTTTTAGGAAACTTGATAGAGCCCTTGAAAATGAGGCTTGGGTCCAGAAATTTGACAGAACAGAAGCTGAATTCTTACCCCTGGGGGTATCATATCATAGTCCTACATTGGTGAAGTCGGGGAGGAGGCGAATAGGAAGAATTGCCTTTTTAAGTTCTTTAATTTTTGGGCCGACAGAGAAGATTTTCTGCATATTGTAACCCAAGTATGGTAGGAACCTATCCAAGGTTCAAATCAGTTCAAAGTTTGCTTTAAACTTAAGAAACTAAGAGTTGTGTTTAAAGCAAAGAGGGGGGAAATAGGTGAGCTATCTACCTCAGTTAGAGAAAAGAAAGCTTTGCTTGATAACTGCCAAAGGAGACTAGACCTTAACCCTTCAGACTCAGTACTCAGACAGGAGGAGAAACTATTACTCAATGAATACTTGGAGGCTGCCAGGAATGAGGAAATCCTATATATACAGAAATCCAGAATATTATGGTTGAGTGAAGGAGATAAAAATACTGCTTTTTTCTTTAAAATTATGAATTGCAGAAGGAACAAGAAGAAGATTTTCAAACTTGAATCTGCTGATGGTAGTGTGGTGGAAGGAAAGGAAGCAATTAAGGGAGAAACTATTGACTATTTCCAGAGACTTTTAGGAACTACCAGTAACCTCACTCGTCCATTAGAGAGAAGAGCCTTATTAAGATCTCTGTCACTGAAGAAGGTCACTGAGTAGCAAGCAAATCATATGATCAGAGATATTGAAGATGAGGAAATCAAAGATGTGTTGTTCTCCTTTAATAATATTAAGGCACTTGGACCTGATGGATTTGCTGCATACTTCTTCAAAAAGGCATGGCCAGTGATTGGTAGGGACATGATAGCTGCAGTGAAAGAATTTTTTAGATCTGGAAAATTACTAGAGGAACTCAACTCTATTGTGATTGCCCTTGCCCCTAAAAGTCCAAATCCAAACTCAATGGGGGATTTCAGACCTATCTCATGTTGTAACTTGTTGCATAAGGTCATCTCTAAAATTCTGGAAAATAGAGTGAAGGTTGTGCTCCAAGGTATTGTAAACTTTAATCAAACTGCCTTTGTTCAATGAAGGAAATTGGAAAAAATATTATGCTCACTTAGGAACTCCTAAGAGACTATAGAAATAGTGGATCTCCCCGATGTGCTATTAAATTGGATATTATGAAAGGTTATGACACATTGGATTGACATTTTCTTTTAGATGCCCTTGAAGCTTTCCATTTTCCAGAAATTGTGAGAAATTGGATAAGGGAATGTATAACTTCTCCTCGGTTCTCTGTTAATATAAATGGGGAGATGGCAGGATTCTTTTCAAGCTCTAGGGGCCTAAGGTAGGGTGATCCCCTTTCACCTTACCTCTTTGTTTTGGCCCTGGAAGTTTTTAGTTCTGTCATATGGTAGCAAATTACCTCTAATCCTTCTTTCAGGTTTCATTGGAGATGTAAAAAGATGGCTCTTACTCACCTAATTTTTATTGATGATGTCTTACTTTTGAGTCATGGAGATGCTCAGTCTATAAGAGTATTGAAAGCTGCGATTGACCAATTTCAAGCCCTCTCTGGGCTCAGAGCTAATCCCTTGAAAAACAATGTATTCATGTCTGGGATGTTTAACGAGGCAAAAGATTAGATTACTAATATTCTTGGATTCCAAATTGGCGCTCTACCTATGAGATATTTGGGGATCCCCTTGGTGTCCACTATATTCAGGAGGCAATATTGTGTTGCTCTGATGGAAAAAATGGAGTCTAAGGTGAAAAGTTGGACCAACAGATTTCTATCTTTTGCTAAAAGGCTTCAATTGATTACCTCTGTGCTCAATAGCACCCAAAATTTTTGGTCAGCCCATATTTTTATTCCCCAACATGTTCTTGGTAAATTAGAAAGAATGCTTAGATCATTCCTTTGGAAGGGGACTGAACTCAAGCCCATTGGAGCCAAATTGGCATGGGAGGACATTTGCTGACCTAAGAAAGAAGGGGGATTGGGGGTTAGAAGACTTAAGCAGATGAATCTTGCAATGATGATGAGATATTTGTGGATTTTATTTATTGAAAAAGAAAGCCTCCAGGAAAAATGGATCCATTTTTACCATTTAAGAGGCAAAAGCATCTGGGAAGTTAAGCCACCTCACTCTTGCTCTTGGAATTGGCTGAACCTCTTGAAATTGAGACCAATGGTTAGACCTCTAATTCAACATGTTATTGGCAATGGAGAGAGTACTAGCCTTTGGTTGGATAATTGGCACCCTAATCGTCCTCTTCTACTTAAATGGAGTGATAATATTATTGATCATGCAGGGTTACCTAAGGATGCTAAAGTGGCAGCAATCATTGGCAACAACAGGTGGTCGTGGCCTTTCACAGGTACACCTGAACTCTTGGAGATTTCAAATTATATGCCTACATATATTCCTCTGTCAAATAAGAAAGACCAGGTGAAGTGGACTATAGCAACAAATGGGCATTTTTCTTCTGTTTCTGCTTGGAATCATCTTAGGTCACTTGGGCAAGAGGTATCTTGGCATCATCTGTCGTGGTATGGACAATACATACCAAGATGAGCTTCATTCTATGGTTAGCAATCAAGGAAAGGCTAAGCACTAAAGATAGAATGCTAAAATTTGCACCGGATGTTAAAGTGACATGTATCCTCTATAGGCATGACATGAAATCTCATTCTCACCTCTTTTTTAGATGTCAGTTCTCACAAGATATTTGGCTTTATCTGATGCAACTGTGTGGTGAACAAGGCCTACCGAGCTCTTGGCAAAATTTCATAGCTTATGCAAGTCAAAGTTGGAAAGGTAAATCACTTGACACGGTGTTAAAGAAATTGTGCTTGGCAACTACTGTGTATATAATATGGAAGGAAAGGAATAAAAGGCTCCATACAAACCAGTTTAGAGATTGTAGAAGTCTCGTGAAGTCTGTCATGCAAATCATCAAAAATAGGTTAGTCACACTCAAATTCAAGAGTTCCCCCCAAAACTTGGCACTCCTCCTAGCTTGGCAGTTACCTAGTAGTGGCTTAAGTTCAAATGATAATGAACAAGAGATGTTAGGAGAATGAGGATGAGGTTGGTCAGATTAGGATGCTGATTTAAGAGCTGGGTGCACTCAGGGGAAGTTTTATTTTTCTGAGTTTATATGTAAGAAAGATCAGCTTGATATTTTACTTGACATTTCTGAAGATGAGACTCACCAACGAGAACATCAAGGCCTTTATTATGGATCCTTCTGGAAGTGCTTTCTTCTTTTTTCAATTCTCCTTCAAAACCTATGAGTAAGAAAGGAGCTACTGGCGTCATCATCCAATAGTTTCTCCCACTGCTCAAAGAAGCTGGAGAACAATGAATGGGCAGAAAAGTAAGCTGGCTCTGCGCTTTCCATTCGACTGTAGACAATGCCAATGAGTTTGTAATGACACTGTAGTCATTGACTACTTGTTGTGTAGGCTACTCTGCCTTTCTCTATTTTGAATGTGCAGACCCTGTTCATGGAAGCCTTTTTGCTTTATTTGTCTACTATTGAGTCAGGATTCTACTGAAAGTACCAGCTCAAGGCTGGCACTTTCTTTAGAATTCCAGAATCTTGGTTTTGTTGTTAATCTTTTGGTTCTACTTTTGTAATTGATGGATGCATTATATCATGTGAGTATCACCCATTGTTTTGATTTTTTATTTTTTTCCTTCTTTCTTTACGAATATAATTTACCTTCTGTAAGCATCTTCAATAATACATCAGATGTAGCCCATAGGACGTTAGGATCGTGAATATAATCTATGTGCCGAACCACTTATATATTTCTTGGTGTTCTTATTTTCCTTTATTTTTCTTATTTCAAATTTTCTCAATTTCTACATGGTATGAGGGTTGATGACAACCTGCAAGGGGAAATGCTTAATTATTATGCATCTTGCGATTCTAATGCATAGCCAATGAGTTAAGTTACCAAAGCTTGGTATTGCGAGACCCGACTCGATGTTTTGTGTGTGTTTCCAATTTTTTTTTTTGAATTATTGGCGGGTCAAATCACATAATCTCTTGTTCTTGATTTCCTTCCCTTTCTATTATTAATAGTAGTTAATATTACCAAAGTGGGTAATGTAGACATCGATATCTAGTTAATATTAATAATTACACATACTTTTGTTTTATGGATGAAATTATCTTCTTGTTTAAAAACAGCAATTTTAAAAAGTATTATACGAAACAACAGTCAAGAATGTGAATTTCATAACAATTTCTTTGGATTGTGTTTGTTGACAAGATATTTTTGATGTGATTCAGAAATAATTTTTAAACCTTTTATTTCTTGACCAGCAAATTCATATTAGCCAATAATAATTGTTCTAACTTCTACAGTTTTTGAACTTTTTCCAAAAGAAAGCAAAACTGTGACAATAAGTTTCACATTTTGAAACTATACCACGATTTTTTTTTATAGAAGGTGACAATAACCTTCCCAATTGGAAACTATACCATATTTTTTTTTGCTTTGATCAAATCGTTGTCTTTGAACTTGTTATTTATTTTCAAAAAGAAAATGTGATTAATTCCAACAATGGACAAATGTCACATCCTTGTCTGGGCATTTCGGCATACCTTTTCATTGGATTCAGATCCCCCGTTACACATTTTCTCCAATTTTTTTCAATGGCCTATTCAATAAGTAACACGTCAAAAAAAGTTATATCAACGGGCAAGATTTTTTTTAATACCTATCCGATAAGTAACACGTCAAAAAAATTATATCAACAGGCAAGATTCTTTTTAATACCAATCCGATAAGTAACACGTCACAAAAATTATATCAACAAGCAATATTCTTTTTAATAAACTAGAGTTCTTAACCAAAGTTAACTTCATCATCTTCACGTCAAAACAAACAGAGGCCATAGAGATTGGCTTGGCTTGATAGAACGTTTGTTTTGATGTGAAGATTATGGAGTTAACTTTGATTAAAGACTCTGGTTTATTAAAAATAATCTTGCCTATTGAAATAATTTTTTTGACATGTCACTCATCAGATAGGCCATTGAGGAAAATTGAAAAGAAAGGGTAATGGAAGGGATCTGAATCCCATTTCATTGAGATCTCTTAGTTTGATTATGTAGGGTAGTCAATGAAGATTATCGTGTCATTTCTTCGTGTCGAGTACTAATTAATTTTAATTTAAATTATTTAATTAATCATGTCATATGATACAATATTAATCCAAACTATTTATTAATAATGTCATGTTTGAGTTGGCAAAAAAATTCAAGAGTAGAATTTTTTCAGGACACAAAAATTAATTTTAATTTAAAAATCCAGGAGTTGACACAAAAAATTGTGGTATCGATGTTACTCTCAGGACCCCGATAGCTGACCTATCTAATATCCGTGGTTGTCATAAACCTCCAAAGATGCTTGTCAACCAATTTCACGCCCTACATCATGGAAACTGAGCCACTATTGAAAGCAGGACAATGACACGGAGCTTTGGTCTCAGTGGAAATCTGCACAGGAGTCTCAATATCTAAAGTAGTACTACAATTAAGCCTAGGACTCAAAGGGTCACATGTTGAGAAGAGCTGGAGACATTATCAAACCTTGCCTTCCAAAAATAGTAGAATCATCAGAACTCGGTTGCCAAGCATTGGATTATCAGACCTCAATTGGAAAGCGTTGGGGGCATCAGACCTTTGGAAGAAGGGAAGTCACCATCCTAGTTACATAAAAAGCCTTCACCATTGGTCTATCAACCACGGGATCTCATGTGAAAGAGAGAATTTGATTGTCTGGGTCCTCCATGGTGTCATCCATGGCACCGTCTAGCCTCGCGCCTTCCCTGGTATTGCCCAGGTTCATATCCATGGCGCCAAACGTTAAAGCATCTCCATCTCCAGGCGCCAAAGCGTCCATGCTTCTTCTCATCCTTTCTCCAACAATGACATCACCAAATAGAGAAATAAGCTTAAAAAATGCAATGGAGTAGAAAGCTGAAGAAGCCACCGTATGGAATAAGATATCTGTTCTACCCAAAGGAAGGAGTTCACTTATGCCCTCAACCCCTAATCACTACTAAAGCTTAGGGCATGGGGGCAAATGATGAGCCCAACTTTTACTGGGTCAGACCCAATTAATTAAGTAAGCCCAAATTAGCAACAAGGCAGGTCAAGCCCAGTTTGTGAGTTCAGCCTAGTCCAAGGTCCAAACAGTCCAAGCATATTAGGGCACGTGGGGAGCAATCATCGGGATAGCCACTCTCGAAGATCAAGGCTACCTTTAATTGCACTTACCTTTTGTAGCTATCCTCGCCGAGAAACTAGTGTCTTTACTCTCACGTCACTCCTCAACTAAGGCCTTACGCCTATAAATTGTAAGCTCTCTCTACATGAGAAGATACCTCTTTATATCTCTCTACTCATCTTACACAGCTATCTCTCTCATAGCTATCAAGAGTATACCTTTGCTCTCTCTCACCTACTTTTTAATCAATAAAGACCATCGGCTACCGTTGTCGTCTTCAAAGTAGAGTAGGTCACCCTGACTAAACTACTATACCTCTGTGTGTTGACCCGATATTTATCTTTTTGTCATTGATTGCTTTACTAATTGTCTCATTAATTACACTATATCACACACTCGACTATTAATTTTACATCAGTCTGTTTTGTGTATCATCAGATATAATCAAGGATAAACCCCAATAAGAGACCTCGAGCCCATTAGGAGTTATCTTGTAGTCATTGAAGCCAGAATCAAAGAATAGCTTTGCCCACTCTTTCTTATTTCTCTCTATCTCTGCTTGTGACATAAACCATCATCTACATACGAAGGAACAGTTGTGTTTCGATTGACATGTCTTTTTGTTCCTGGCTCAACACCAATCTGTCAATGATTATTGAGCTAAAAAAATAAATTTGGAATGGATTTCGTACCATTCGATCAAAAATGATAAAAACTTGATCAATCTTAATAGTTATTGTGTTTTTATATTTTGAGAATTTAACTTCATATATAACTGTAATATTAGATAGATAACTTTGTTTTATGCCTAGAAAGAGAATGCTTACACTAGCAGGAAAAGTGCCAATTGCTGATAGCCTCGTGAATCAAGGCACCTCTCCAATTTTTAAATAGATGAGAATATGTCCACATCATCAAATTCAGACTATTTTAAATTTAGGATTCGATAATGTGAACAGGCAACATTTGAACGTATAATCTCTTACTATATCATCATCTCAAACCACCATATATACTAAAAGCATAAGCTCAAACTTAGAAGACTTGGTTTAGATGAATTTTACTTTATACACAAAAAGATTTAATAAATTTTACATTATACCCTGAAAGATTAGATTTTTCATATTTGTATTAAAAGTGTTGAATGTGGCGCTTCCGTTAATTTCAGTTACTCATTCCGTCAAAGTCAATGGGGACGTTTTTTATAGAATAAACAACAGAAGTTAACAAAAAGATCACTTTATTTTTCGAACATGTGGATTTCTAACATTCCCCTTCAGTGTGAGTCATATTTTCTATTGTATTCTTTCAAATGCAAATCTTTAACATATAAGGTGCCAAAAAAAAAATCATGGTCAGAATCTAGATTCCTATATAATTGAATACAAATTAAACAAGAAAGTTGAAACTCAAGTTTAGAGTGGTTTGTTTCAATTTTTGTATACAAAGCCATTGTTTTTTTTCTCAACCCCGTTATGGGATTGTTCGAATACTCATAAACTCAGGGGCTCTTACATTCATACATCATCAACTAGGGTTTTCCTTGCTTGCTAACACTTATCACAAATTCTAACAGTAAGATCTTCTTCTAAAAGTAACATAGAAATTTTGCACTAGATATTCTTTATTATAAATCCACTCTTCAATATGGCTCTTATTGAACCAAAGATGAGCTAGATATCATCAAGCATAGACCTCAATAACATACCTCAAGCCCAAAACAGGAGCAATTTTATAGTCATTAAAGCCAGCATCAAAGAAGAGTTTTGCCCACTCTTTCTCATTTCTCTCTCTGCCTGTTACCATAACCATCATCAGCATGTTGAAAAAGAGTTGTGTTTCAATTGATTCATCATCTCCTTTTTGATTTTTCACAATCATTTCAATGATTATAACCTTTCCTCCCTTGTCCTTGCTTGGGATCGTCTCTCTACATTTCTTTACTATCCTCAGGCTCTCTTCATCACTCCAATCATGTAAGATCCACTACTTATCATTCACAATATCAATTATTCAATTCATGACAATAATGTCTAAGAAAAAATAGAAAGAAAATAACCACACATTTGCCTGTAAAAAATCTTAGTACTTGAAGCTGAAGACGAATATTTTCTTTTGTATAACTATGTATTAAGTCTACTATAAGAGGAAAGAGAAAGGGAAATTGAAGATGTAAAGTCTATTCATAAGAGGAAAGATAAGCAAAATTAATGATTCCAAATTGTAGAGAAGCATCCAAAACTGAAGCAAAAATAAGCATATGATTTGTTTTAGAGTTTTGCTAGTTTAATCAAATTTTGGGACCAAATTTGACTGCCAAATGATTTGGCACATTTACACCCCACAAATAAGTGGGCCAAAAAAAATTAGAAAATGCTAGACTAATAAAAAATGGAATAAAAAAAAAGACATGATGATGTGAAATTAATATGGTGGTAGCTTTTATAAATTCAATTCAAAATTTTTATCACTTGTCAGTGTCACATTATGTGATCCTTATTTTTGATCTTGTTTTTTGGTCAGTCTTAAATTACTTAAAAACATCTGATGTATGAGCGTGTCACATCATTTGTACAACCAAATGTGATCGGTATAGTATTTTGGTTTGTTGAATGCATAATTAGTTCTAGGAGGGAGGTCTTCACTATCTCTCAATAGGAACACATTGCATACCTTTAGTAAAACCACATCTACAGGAGGAATACCCTCAAACATGTCTCCTCCAGCATAGATCAAGTTCTCAGTCCCTTTGAGATCGGCCACAACATGTGGGAGATCAAACACAATGCACTTCAAGTGTGGGAATGCATCAACGATGGCCTTGGCAACAGTCCCTGTGCCACTGTCAATGTCCACGAGGGAATTGAACCCCTTGAACACCCTCTTGCAATCTCTAACCACCATGTTAGTGACCAATTGGGCATCACTAGACATGGTATCATTAATCAAATGGTTGAGCTTTGGTTCATGGCATGTATAGTCCCAAAGTGTACTCCCATGAGTTGTATAAAACGGTGTGGGCTTGTCATTTGGGAACCACTCACTCACATGGTGCCATGGCTTTGTCATAATCGGATCAAGCATGGCTAGCAAAAGGGGTGTCACGCTAAAGGCTCATCCTTTAGGAGGAGCCGAGAGGCCAGTGTGAGCAAATAACCTCCTTCTTCATCACTTTTCGAGATCTTTTGCCTGACAAAAAAACAAGAGTGAATTAGGATGCATATCAAACGATAGATGAGTTAGGCTTTTGTGTGCTTGGAACGCCCCAAAATTCCCCTTGGATGACATTACTATTTAGAAACCATTCATATTTTGAGAGCAACTAATAAGATTCATAAGTAAAAAAAATTTCATTCATCATCCATAATATCTACAACTTCATCCAAAAGAATATGCCCAACTACGGTAATTACATCTAAAAAATTAACTATTATCTTGCAGCGGAATAAGAAAAATATTAACATGAACAATATCTGAAAATAAACCTCCTAGTCTATGACATAAAAAGAACAGTTCTAGACATCCCCCTCTGGGCCCGCTTGCCCACCAAGTTGAGCTTCCCTAGCTACCTGCTCGTTAACTCTGAGCTCCTCTTCTAAACCAAAATCTGAAAAGAATGTTATTTGTAGGGGGTGAGCACTAAACTCTGTAGGAAAATCCTACCAAACTCGAACAAGATTTAAAAAGCATATAAAACAGTCGGTCTCATTTTACAAATAACATATATAGCTTTTGAAGGAAAATAGGGACATTTCAATGGATCTCAAGTTTACACAATAATAATAATTAAATTAAAAAGTAAAACCAATTCCCAAAAATATCAATTCCAACAAGTTACAATTTTCACAATAAACCAATTCCATCATAAAATCATTTCCACAATAAACTATAACCAACCATTTGCACAATAAATAATAGCTCACAATGTATCTCAGGTATGATGTATGACATCACATGAATAAACACATCGAGAATATCCTGTCCCCTACACACACACCCAATCCTCGTAAGGATATCCAACTTTAGGAAGGGCGTATACCAACGCATTGACAGTGACGAATCCAACCTAGGAATAATATACTAACTATCAGCCTCGATACCTATGAGTGAATAGTAATTTGATCCTCGCAAGGCACCAACCCCATGCTTGACAAATTTCTTTGTTGTTTCCTGACCTATAAACATCACCTTTTAGCATGTATAGTATATGAATAAAGGGAAGTGTCACTCTCCTAGGGATGATGTCAAAAGAAAGGGCAACAAAATAGTGGATGAATGAGTTTCAAATGTGAGTATGTGTGAACAAAAGTGCTCCCCAAGCGGAAGGAGACTTTCGTGGATCGTGTTTTAGTTGTTGGTATTCCAAGGTCGTTTCCACGGGGAAGGAAGTAAACTAAGGGGAGGTGATTTTGGGAGAAAGAAAGTGTAAAATCTTTGATTGTTGGAAGTTGTTTGGTGAAGTTGTTTTGATGCTAGTAAAATGAGAAACAAATGTTGGCAAATCGAAGAGGTCACTCCAATAGGAATACCGTCTCAACTTGAAACCTTCCTCCAATAAAGCATGAATGAACGATTGATTCGTGGGAAGCTAGGGGTAAGATTGGTGAGTATCTAAGCATAAACCGTGACTAGGCCTACAGAATATCAAAGACTCACCAAGTTATCCACCCTCAACCCAGTCAAACCGAACCATTGAACTCTGAAAGAGGGGAGGAGAATGAGTTGAAATGGTATACCCAAGTGGAGGTTCCTCTTGGTTTTGCCAACTAAGAGATTTAGCTATTCATGCTTAAAATAAAGACAACAATATGATGAGAAGACATTATGAAAAAATAAAGACTAAAGCTAAGCATAAACGAATTGTATAAATTTAACTTCCAGATAACCACCTCTTACTAAAGATTGGATAAGAAACTACTCACTCTTCATGGCTTTGTTAAAACTAGAAAAGTGAGTGATGCTCATCCCTCCAAGTAGAGGAGTTACAAGGTAACACATTTTACACAAGGAGCCGATCTTCGACAAAGAATGAGTGAATCACGTTCCACCCTTCACGGCTTTGGTAAAGCTCTAGAAAAGTGGAAGAGTTTCACTCCTCTAAGGGAAGAAGGAAGCTCAAGCAATGGAAGTAAAAGAAAGCAATAACACAATAAAAGAAAGCAATACTTAAAGTAAAAGAAAGCAATAAATTAAAAGGAGCAAGAATACAATAAAAGAAAACAATACTTAAAAGAAAGCTATAAGCAATAAGGAAAGCAATAATACTTTTAGAGGGTTTTCCACTACCAAAAGATGAATGCTTTACAAGTCCTAAGGGGTGGTATTTATAGGCAACAAGGGAGGGTGAAAGTCTTGTTAGGTGGACTTGAAGAGTCTTGTTATGTGGTTTTGAATCTTGTTAGGTGGACTTGAAAATCTTGTTAGGTGGCTTTGAATTTTGTTAGGTGGATTTGAAAATCTTGTTAGGTGGCTGTGAATTCTTTGATCCCCCTTTGTTTTGAGCTTTGATAATTGGCATCCCAGTGGTTTGTAGCTTTAATGCAATTGGCTCCCCAGTAGTTTGTAGCTTTGACGCACAAAATCCTGAAAAGAACAACAATTAATGCATTATCCTTTATTCACACACTAATTCTAATTTGATTTATTTTGACTAGTTTAACTTTATTCAACTAACACAATTTACCTATTAAATTATGCCTTAATTAGGGTTAATCACACACCCTACCTAAATATTACTAGTCCCTAGTAATAAACAACATAACAAAATAAAATCACTTTCGTAGATAACACGATTGCATTTAGCATATGCAATAAGCCGTTAAACCCCTAGGTGATCCCTAGTGGACGAGTTTTGTCTCGTGAAGGTTTCCAGTGAAGCTACCTACAAACTCCAATTAAAAGATGTGTATATGTAAGATTTCTTGTCAAAATGAGTTAGCAACAGAATCATTGAGGCACACATCTCTTAATTTTGAATTATTTCCAGAACACTTCTCTGTCATTGGTACGTACTCTATACAAAAATAAACACTTGTTACATTGGTATTTGGAATTCCTTGTGTAGTAGGAATGATAATTCTAGTAGCAATAATTGTTATATAACAAACATTCCACTTTATCACCTTCCATAGATAGCTTTGATTTCTTAAATCTCTCTTAGAATGCTTTCAGCAAAAAATTCACTCCGATTATAGTGACTTGTCTCTCAAAGGGCATGTGATCAGAGGATGGTCAATCGAAGAATCACATGCACAGTTAGAAAGGGAGTGAAAGTCTTAAGAAAGTAGGCTAATCATGTTCTTGGCATAATCTCATGGAAGAATATCAATGCAATTAAAGAAATACTATTTAACATACCCCAGTTTTCGGTCGACAANTCTTGGCATAATCTCATGGAAGAATATCAATGTAATTAAAGAAATACTATTTAATATACCCCAGTTTTCGGTCGACAGCACACATGCTTTAGACTTGAGATCAATTAGGACTTTCTATAGGTTGTAATGTGGCCAGAGGTTAGTGGCTAATGAAATGACGTCAATGGTATTCAAAAGCNACACATGCATTAGACTTGAGATCAATTAGGACTTTCTATAGGTTGTAATGTGGCCAGAGGTTAGTGGCTAATGAAATGACGTCAATGATATTCAAAAGCTATCCCCTTTTTTAATGTAGCACACCTCTTTCTTACTTTTTAGTCTTTTGCCTAAAAATGGTATTTCTTTCTTTCATTTTTTTTTCGATTCTTCGTTGAATAGTAACCACCATCTTCTTTTCTGTTTTGTCTTACCTTTCTATGTCATACTGATTTGTAAGAGGGTGCAAGAAAAAATTGGACAACAAGGTATGTTAAGTGTATTTTTTTTTTGTGTGGCTCGGTTATCATATGGGTTTTTCGAGAGAAAAAAAATCATCATTCATTGAAGGCTCAAAAATGGCTAATTAGGGATATAATTTTGTAGAAGCAATGACTAAGGTTCAAAATCAACTCAAAGATGGCCTAAAATTCTTTCTCAAGTATGTGTCTGTGTCGCATGCAAAGGTNCCCCAAAAAATGGCTTAAGTCTTTGGCCATTGACCTTGAATGTCTAGCCATTTTCGGGGTTTTGAACATCCACAGCTCTGTTGGGGCAGGCCACCTTGACAAGATAGGGGACATCCCAACGGGATCGGAGTTTGCCTTGAAAAATGGAGAGGCGAAAATTGTATAAGANTCTGTGTCGCATGCAAAGGTTCCTAGTAGGATATGTCAATAGATTACTTTAGTTGCATTTAATCAAAACAAGTTTAATGAGATTATTCAACAATTGAAAGTGAAAGAACTTACTTGAGTAAATGTTGATTGTCTCTCAGAAAGCATCGTAAGGCTCAAAACTTACCATGATATTCTTCGTTATCTCCACTGGTTATGTTAGGTTTCCAAAGAATGTCAGTTATATTANAGATTTTGGAACTCTCATACGCATCTCATTGAATCTCTTCCAACTCATTCAACTCTAACTTCCTATGATCACCAACCATTCTCAAATTAAAATTTAAAGTCTTGATGGCCCAATAGGCCTTGTGTTCTATTTCGACTGGCAAGTGGCAAGGCTTTCCATAGACAAGCCAGTAGGGAGACATGCCCAAAATAGTTTTAAAGGCAGTGCGNTATCTTTATTTCAACAAAAAAACTTTGTACATAAACAAATATTCACAAAAAATAAAATAAAATTTCGGACCATTAACCTTCATCCCCAAAACACATTTTTCCACAGTTTTGTCATTATTAGTTAAAATTTAATCCGAGTC